ACAGAAAGGCCAAATATTCTTTAGTTTGGCAGACGTTTTCCACACCTTACGGATATGAACTGGTTTAGTTCATGCCTCGGTTTCTTTCGTTACGTAATATCCTTCTATTTTATAAAGCGCTAACTTTGTGTGTCGGTTTGTGTATCTGTGTGTGTATGTATGTATGTGTGTCCGTCCGCAAAATGAAGTGAGTGAGAAGGAAGCTCATGGGATAAACAAACCGCTAACAAATCGGGTAGCTTACAGGATTTGAGATATCAATGTTTTGTAGCAGGATAGTTGTGATAACACTCTCAGGGCTATATAAACACCTGCTTAGCACACTTCCGTTCATTCCACATGGTGCTGCAGTGGCAGCTGGAGGGCAGTGGAGAGAGGAAGGGAGGATGAGGAAGGGAAGCGAAAAATCTACCGTCATATCATGATTGTGTCCCTTCTACTGTATGAAACACCATTGTGTTGCATACGCGTCACTTCCAGGAGGTGTTGGTGTCACAGGAGGAAGGGACCATAGCGGAGGATAGAAAGCTTGCGCAGGAAAGGAAGGTCCCGGCGGTTGACGGGGGACTAATCTGGTGTATAAAATACATTATAGAAGTATACAACCTATGGCTATGAGAAGATATTTGTTTTTGCTGGAACAACCATAACCAAATTGATTCCGGAACCCTCAAAGGCAAAGCCAGTGAAATTTACCTTTTCATGGCACTAACACGTCATTTCGGTTGAACTTCCATTACTGTGGCTACTGATAACTTAGGCAGATCGAGCATTGTAAACACTTCATCGCATCAAGTATTGCGTATTTACAGCTCAAAATCCATGGATTTGGTGTGCAGCGGCGGCGCTCGCAAAATCGCTCTGGTCCCTTGCGGTGCAAAAACGCAAAACGTGCAATATCGTCAACGTGTTAAGGATGAGGACCACGAAATTAGAGCTGCTCTTCCAGAAATTTTTGTCCAGCAATTAGGGAGTCACCTCTGGGTTCGATTTCGATTTCTTTAATTATTTTTCCGAAGTACTTGCGTATACAAACCCACATACACCATCACTCTCTGCAAAATATTGTAGAGTTGAGCTGTCGTCGACTACTCTTTTTTTTACTAATCCCACTCAATAAACAAGGTTTCATACCAAGTAAAGAGTGCTACAAAGCATAGTAGGAGGTTGCTCGTTTGCAAGAGGTTAGGGTCACAGAGCGGAGCTGTAAGAACTGTCAGCCCGAGTCTCCAACTTCTTATGAATTCTCTCCGCAAAGATGAGTGGATGGCAAAGAAAGAAGCTAAGTTTATCTATATTTACCAAAAGTGTATAACCAAATTGTGTAACTCACCAGCACAGTGACGACGTTCAATTTCAATTTCCATGGCTTGTTCGCGAGAATGCCTTTTCGAATGGCGCTTTTGTTAGGTCTATTCTCGTGAAAGGTTCTCTCCTCTCCAAGCAGGAATCCTTTCCCTTGAGCCCATTGAAATCGCTATAAAACTGGTGTATGATGACTTTAAAGATTGATAAGTGAAGAGTAACTCGACGACCCCACCTCTTTGATGCTATTCAGCGTATTTACACCAGGTTTGATTTCGATAACCGTAACCGAAAAATTAGTACGCCATCCAGTGTGAGGATCAAATTGAATTCGCCCTGTGAGAGTTCCATCGTCGTGAGTCAAGACCACCTCAAAACAAACTTACTGAAGGCGGAAAACGCTATGCGACCAGTAATGGGAAGCGCGCTTTGCTCGAAGCTCGTCACTGAGCTTTGAGAGTAGTGTGAACCACCGCTATACAGGGGTGGCCAAAAAAAAAGAGACACTTCAGCCCATGGCGCACATCATCGAACTTTTCGTCGCACAGGGAGCCGATGTTAATGAAAGTTTTACGGCGAATATTCCTTAGTTGTTCCTCCGTAAACAGAAGCAAGCCCTCCTTCACTGCCCCTGCCGTCTCCAGAATATGACGTCATCTGCCGTCACCGTCGAGCTCAACGAGGCTTACCGAAATCGCTCCGACCTGAAGCTGCTACACAATTTCCTCAGTGAATTAATTGTTGAATAGCTTCCCAGAGACATTAGCTGTGAATGTGCAAAACCGCTTTTGACCTGCGTTTCAGAGACGTCGTAATCGTCTATGGTATCTCAACGACCTCGTTGAGATCGTACCGCGCACAATGCTTCCGTGGGAAAATCTTCTGATGTCGTCGGTGTAGAAGGCTGTTGTGTAGCTTGTTGATAGATTATAACGTGCTCTTCAATATTCAGTTGGGGTCATTTGGTTTGGTTTCGCGACGCGTAAATAATTCCGTTTTGAATGTTGAGTGAAGTGTCTCTTTTTTTTTGGCCACCCCTGTATAAACCAGTGAGTGTGGTCACTGTGAGTGGTCTACCGTGTTAGGATCAACCGAGCAAAATCTTTCCGGTTGAACATGAAGGCTTTTTTGCAGCGGTTTTTTGGAACGTAAGTTAGGAATGATTGTGCCGATAAGCACAAGGAGTAAGCAAAACGTATTGCCGACTTTCCAAAGTAAGCATATGTGTGCGTTCCATAGGGTGGAGAAGTGGTAATTAGTCCTCTAGCCGAGCACACGGGCTGAGTATTAGATCTTTCTAGCCATCCTGGCCAACAAAGTTCTACTATTTCTTCATCCCATCGAGGTGGGGTAATCGGCAACAGGCTTACCTAAGATAAATCCACCAAATTGTACACCTCCTGGCCGCCGCGAATTATCGTATAGGCAGCCGCGTACATGTGGTGCTCAGTGGTACGCCAATTGCGGAAAAACGCAGAGAAATTTGTCAAGAAAACACGAAAAGGACCGTTTCTCTTGGCCGCTGATCTTCGCTCAAGGACGGGGAGTGACTGGGGCGGTGGACGTATGGACGAGTCTGCCGCAACACGTTTGCTGGCACCATATTAGCCCATGCCTAGGGCCATATGCTGAATGTTGGATAGGTCTATTATTAGTCGTCATATTACTAGTCGCGTTACTCCAATAGTGTCGCTGCTGGCAACACAGCTCGTCCAAATCACCAATAAACTAGTGGGCGGATCGCTTTTGGGGCGGAGCGCTTTCGAAGTCCTGCTCAGCAACCAGCGCACCTTTCGTCGTGAAAGCGCCACATTCGCTTCCTTGGCAGCCAAGTAACTGCTTCGTGTGGTGCATATGCCTTCCCGATGTACTCCCTCTTTATCGTCATCGCTTCCTTTAAGTGAATAAGCAGCGCAAGGAAACTGTCCACGTGGAAACCTCAGACTGTCGTAATAATCAGAGTCGTAATATTGAGAAAAGCTTCGCCACTCCCGTTGCACCTCACTAACCCAGCCACTTCTTCTTAGCATGTGGTGCGAAGTAGAGACGTTCGCTGAAGCGGACCATCACATGGGCAGAGACGCATAAATACCGACTCCTCTCGAAAGTGTCGCGGAACTTTCTGCACTTCCTCTTCAAGCTCGTAACTTACTGCCACAGCTCTACAAAGCTGCACAGTGGTTTAATAATACCAGTCGTTGCTGTTATATGCTCTGTCATTTCATCACAGAGTCACCTTATCCAAAGAAATGAAGAGCAACAAAACCACAACCAGGTCCCGATTATTCTTCAACATTTCGCTGGACCCTGGACGAGAAAGTCCAAAAAGTCAGCGACTAAATTTGATGGATCAGGATACTCCCTCTGAGATCAC